GAAAAGATATGCATGCATGCTAATGAGATGCACATACAATAGAATGTGAATGAATTCTATGATATGCCATGTATTATTTATTTATTTATTTATTTTGGCATATAGGTTCAAAGGTCTGAGGTATGGGATGAATCTAATTGCTTTTCATGGAACATGGTTCTCATCGGGTATGATCTAAGGTTACAAAGGTTCTTAGAGTCATGAATCCACAATCCTGTTTGACGCTTACAAAAACTTACTTGCTTGGCATCAACTCCATCAAGAGAATCTATTATTGGTGAGGTTCTCATATCGACCAAACGAGAAATTTATCTTGCAGACCCATACTACGCAAACATTGACTTCGGGGTTCTAGACAGGGTTCCCAGAGTTACGAATCCACAATGATGTTTGCCGCTTATGACAACTTACTTGCCGAATGTCAACTCTATCAAGGGAATCTATTCTGAATGAGGTTCTCGTTTCAATTCAAAAAAAAAATTATCTTGCAGACCTATACTATGCAACTATCAATCCTAGTTGGCCAGAGGGTTCTACAAAAGATCCTTAAAGTCATAGACCCTAATGAAAATATTAAAGCTTACAACAACTTACCTGTCGGGCGACGAGACTCTCAAAATGATATACTCTAAGTGAAGCTCTCGTGCTGACCCTAACGAGAAATTCATCTTGCGGACCCGCACTACTCAACCTCGTCCTATCTCATGTTTGGACTCTAGAATTGGGTAGAGAGTCTTTCCCACAAGGTTTGCAATTAGAGTAACAATCCGATACAACGTCAAAAAAGATCCATATAACAGATTATATAACAATATAACAAGAATAAAAGCATAAGATAAAGAAATGTCACACAAGTAAACAAACATAAACACACAACAAACCAAACTAAACTTGACTCACTTAGGGGAGATTCCCTAGTGAAGTTGCCATCTATCGTACCTTAAAAAAGCATGACATCGTGAACCGCAATCGCAAGCTCGCGAAATGATGGACTAACAGAGTCGCTGACGAACTTTATTTATTCCCAAAAAGGGAATGGTAAAATATAAAAAAAAACCCAAAAAAATGACAGTGACTATGGTTGTTGCAACCAAATCAGAGCTCGAGAGTCGGTTACGCATGGGGAAGGTATTAGCACCCGTCACGTTCGTTGTACTTAACTGGAACCGTTAGGTTAGTTGTGCATGTTAGTGTTAGCTTGAAAATGTTAGGCTTCTCGAGTTATTAAGAGTGGAAATAAAAGGATAAAAATGTTTAGTTTTTATTAGGATGCCTGGCGAGAATTTGAATCTCGGTCCTACGTATCTCTGGGTGCGATGGAGAACTCAAGGCTACCTAGTTCTGGGTAGAAAATGTTTGTTTGTTAGTTGATTTTAGTAAAATCTATTTTATCATAATCGGATGAAAAACATTGCTTGCTACCCAAAACAGGTGAGGAGTGAGAGTTTGCATCACATTGAATGGATTTCTAGACATCAATATTCATGGGAAAACGCCACTTACCTCAAGTCACATGATTGTGGGTGAAGCATTATTTTTGCATCGTCTCAAGACGAAATATCTTTCATTTTGTAAAAACTTTGAAAATCATCCTGCGAAGGCGAGGTAAGAGTTTGATGAGTTTGAAGTATTTTTGGTGATGATGAGAGTTCGGACGCACGAGAACTATATCCCGTTTCCCAACTCTCGGGAGCTTGTGGACTACACCACGCTCCTTTTTCATCTTATTTGTGAAAAGAGTTTTGATATTTTTAGATGTTTTGATGTTTTGATTGAGAAAATGCACTCGATTTTAGCCGAGGTTTACTACACGTTGTGGAATTAATTAAAGGACGATGAATGTTTGAATTGGTAAGAACGACATCTCGGATCCTAACTCTCAGGAGCTCGTGGACTACATCCTGTTCCTTTTCATCCAATTTTGTGAAAGGTGTTTAAATAATGGTTAACTGATTTTGACTTTTCGTTTGGGAAAATGACTTGACAATAGATCAAGCATTTGATTCATTTGCAAAAATGGCTGGCTTGAGGGTTTGAAAATGGATTGATTTTAGAAAAAATTACTCAATTTTGGATCGAGCATTTATTTTTGTTTATTTTTGAAAATGTTTAATTTTACGCTAATCTTTAATTAACAATTAACTAATAAAATCAAAACAAAATAAAGGAAAACAGTGAAATTATTACAAGTCATGGGAATGGGGATACAATTTGTAGAATGTGGATTAAGAAGCAATAAACATGCAAGCCATCAAACAAGTAAATGCAAATAAAAAGTGTAAGAAAGCCAAAGAGTAAGGCACATGACTGGAAACCAACCGAAATCAAAAAGCAAATTGAATTTAGTGCAATGTTAGGCTCTTTTAGAGTAGATTTCATGTAGGAATCACTCTATAAAAATCTGAGCAAAAATCTATGTGCCCAAACGATTTTCAAAACCTAAATTGAATTTCAAACTCCGAAATCGTAACACAATAATAAACCAAGCAGCAGATCAAATAGTATTATTATTATTACCGTAGTCTTACAAAATTTATCATATCAAATCATCGTAATCGAAATGAAAAGACAAAGAAAAGCAACTTAATTACAATCATGAAAAAAACAAAGGTAAAAAACCATGAGGTATAACTAATAAAAGGTACTTGGCCTTAAGTCAAATGTTAGATACAATTCCATGAGCAATAAAATATTTAATCTAAATATTAGAATAAAATATAAAATAAATAATGAAATATTAAAATAATGTAAATAAACAAAATAAATTGTCGCACCCTAATTTTTGACCTCAAGATTCCACCTCCTTGTGCTTTCCTTGCTCGTTTATTACAGCTAACTGGTTTGTGTAGGTGTGATATTTTCTCTTACAGGAAAGCATTTTAGGATGCAGCCATTGGATTTTTGATCCTAGAAGTTCTAGGATTTTCTATTAGTAATCTTCTCAAAGTCCCTCAATAGCTCCAATGTGCGCCCCAAAGATTTAGGGTTTTCTCATTATCAGTATTAAGCATGAGCATTTGAGGACCGCTATGGTCTTCATAGCAATTTTCGTTTTACAAATGATAACCTTATTATACAAGGCTATGGTTTCAAAACCATCATCATCTAAAGGATCATTCAATTTCTCATCGAGTTAAGAGGTTTACTGGACTAAGACCTTATCATAATAAGTATGATTACTTTGTGGTTTAAATTAAGGATCAATATTCGAGAGAAAGGCATGACAAAACAAAGAAAAGAAACTTAATTACAATCATGAAAAAAACAAAGGTAAAAAACCATGGGGTATAACTAATAAAAGGTAAATGGGCTTAAGTCAAATGTTAGATACAATTCCATGAGCAAAAAAATATTTAATCTAAATCTTAGAATAAAATATAAAATAAATAATGAAATATTAAAATAAAGTAAAAAAAAAACAAAATAAATAAATAAATAAATAACTAAAAAAACAAAAATAGAAAAGGGACAACACCCTAATTACTCAAGAAACTTGAAAGGGAGCTTTCTCTTTTTGCAGGTTAAGAAATGAGATGCCACTAAAAGAAAAGAGTCGTCTACCCTAATTCCATATAGACTACTTTTCCAGAAATTAATTTTTAAACCAAAAATTAGTTCAAAGTCTCTAAGTATAGACTTTAACCCCCAAAGATTCGGCCAAGAGCTATCACACGTTATAATCGTATCATCTATGAACTGTAATAAATTTATAGGAGAATGGTCATTCAAACTCACACTTGTTAAATCGTTACTAATGGAATCCCTTTTCAACAAGTATTCTAAGCATTACACAACCAACATAAATAGGAATGGTGAAAGTGGATCACTTTGCCTTAATCCCCTCGACGCCTTGAAATCTATAGACGTACTCCCATTGACCAGCACAGACAAATAGCTATTGAATATCATATATCTCATCCACTGCAACCATTTTTCATTAAAACACATAGCCAACATTACCTTATGTAAGAAATCCCAGTCCACACAGTCATAATCTTGGGCAAAATCCACCTTTAATAGTAGACAACTTTTCTTCTTTTTAATGGAAAAATCAATGAGCTCGTTTTCCACTACAACTTCGTCAAGCATTTGTCTCCCCATGATAAAAGCAGTTTGGGATGGAGAAACGAGCTTGCCAACGATCAAGCTCAACCTTGCAACTAAAATTTTTGAAACCAACTTATAGGTGCTTCCTATAAGGCTTATAGGTCTGAATTCGTCCATGTTTTGTGGGTTGCATGTTTTGGGAATTAACGCAATAAATGAATAACACATAGCTTTCGGAAGACGGGCTTTCAAATGGAACTCTTGCAAATAATTTACAACTTTAACTCCAATAACATCCCAACATTTTTTCATGAAAGACAAATTAAATCAGTCAGGTCTCGGGCTCTGGTTCCTGTCACACCCGTTTAAAACTTCAAGTATCTTCTCATATGTGAAAGGCTAATACAGTAAATCATTATCTTTATGTGAAAAATTTGGAAATTGAGACATGTCCAGGTTTGGTCTGCACACAACAGGGCGCATAAACTTGGCTTCAAAGTGGTTCTTAATTATTTTCTTAAGTGTCCCCTTTATCTTGAACACATCCTCTTCACCAGCAGTACCAATGTTATTCCCTGAAATAGTATTCTTCCTCAGCCTTAATTTCATCATTGAGTGGAAGAACCTCAAGTTTTTATCCCCTTCTTTCACCGAATTCGATCTGGATTTCTGGCTCAACAAACTTTCCTTGAGATGTAACTTATTCCAAATTTCAAGTTGTGCCTCACTCCTTCTAATCAAAGTTTCCTCAGTGATAGATTCACCACCATCTTCCATATCATCTTCTATACGATTAAGAATCGCGACGTTCTATGCAACCTTTAAGTCCACCCAACCGAATATATGCTTATTCCACCAACAAAGTTTCTCCCTGAGCCTTTTTAACTTTACAACAAGAATGTAGTTAGCATTACCTGACATAATAATAGATTCCCAAGCCTCTTTCACAAAATCTAAAAACTCTGGATGATCAAACTAAGCTTGAAAGTTTTTGGCTCCCAGTTTGCGTTATTGGAATATAGCCACACCAACCTATGATCTAAGACGTCTTTGTCATCCACCTTTTGAGCCACCACCTTCCACCTCCTTATCAAGTAATCAGACAATAAAATACGATCAAGTCTGCTCCTACACTTTCCACTAGAGTTAAACGAAGTAAACATATTCCCCACAACAAGTAAATCAATCAAACCGATTGCATCAATGAAATATGAGAGCTCTTCCATTTCAACAAAATTTGGTCGACCCCTACCCATCCTTTCTGAAGTTGTCTTGACTGCGTTAAAATCTCCTCCAATCAACCATTCCCCCAAAGGCATACTAGATTTCAAATTGAGCAACTCAGACCATAGTAATCTTTTATCCACAATGCTACATGAGGAGTATATGTTTACTATGAAACAATTTGTTCCTTTCCATTGTCCATGCACACCCAAATAGCCTTTTCCTTTAAAGGTAAACAAGGGACATAAAAGGATCTTCTTCCAGATTAACAATAATCCCCAATATTGTCCAACCGAGCCAGAAGCGGACCAATCATAATCACCATTTCCCCATATACATCTACCTAATTTATCATTAAATACCTTAATCTTTGTCTCCTGAATCAAATAGAAATTAATTTTTCCTTCAGTAATAATTTTACCAACCCTTCTTCTCTTTAGTGAAGAGTCACACCCATGAATGTTAAAACTCAACAAATTCATGGGACCCTGATTTCGACCGCCCTTTTGTCTTTAAAGATTCTTCTATCTATTTTCTCCAAATCTCTGATTATACCCTTAAAAACCTCATCATCCTTATCCCCTTTTATCCCCAAATCCATGATTGACTGCCATATTTTAGCTGGGACATCTTCTGACGCCTTCTTAGCCCTTATGTTACCTTGATTAACATCGAAATCAGTTATGGACTCACAATAGAGGATGGATCCTCCAGAATACCTCAAAGAAGCTTCCTCCCCCGATGAAGACATATGAATAATACCATTAGAAGGCAATGGATTCTCAGGAATTGGAAGTTGTTTTACTGAGGAGTGTAATAAGGTAGAAAAATATGAAGGGGAAAATAGAATCTTGATATTATCATAGATTTCATTAAGTAGTTTTTTCTTCTTCATTGTGTGTTGGCCCAAAAATAGGCCCATCTAATCTTCTAGGAGAACACGAGATTGGGTCACAAATAGTCACAACCCGACCCATAATTCTAACATTGCTATCGTCAACAATAGTGGAGACAATATTGCCCACTATCACCCCCTTGTTCTACCGATACATTCACTTATCCCATCATGGGATCACACTTTTCAGCCTCATTTAATGTCATGTATGCCCCCAACGTAATATGATTACCTCTGTCTATTTCATTAGTTCCAAAAATCACCTTTTCCCCTTCAGACTTTCAATTTGAAATTTCAACCACCGGTGCATTAACAAGTGTCCTCACGTGGTTGTCTTCTTTGAGCTTCTCCGTCGAAAGTTCCTTTTCTTTTTCCTTGGTACTTCCACTTCTTTGATGATCTCCCTGACACTCAAAATCGTGATCCGTGGATACATCCTCGTCCTCCTCTTCGATACACTCAGACTCCTCACCGTCATAATCTATTTCTTCAAGCTCTGTCTCCGATTCACTTTCCAATATGGTTCCCTTTCCCACAACAATTCGTTTTGGACCATGAAAATCCCCAACCAAATTTTTCTATGGATGTTACTGATCTAACCTAATCAGAAGGGGATCGCTGACTGCCACACGTCTTCGACTTACTGCCTGTTCACCAGTGTTGAAGAAGAGGAGGGGGTGTACCTGCAAGGCACTCTGATGCCAAAGTAAGCTTATGGGAAGAATGATCACAATTACAGAAAAAGGGTAAGAATAGAATACCTGACCTTCTTGGAGAAGAGGGTATTTATAGAGAGACCCCAGCGCAGGGCCAACGGTCATTTGAGTTGGGCTGGGTGGCCAGACCTAACCCAAATGACTGCTAGGGCTTACATGGCTTAGTGAAGACCAGAACATGGTCTTTGCCCGAGTTCAACTGTCCCGTGATCTCCGAAAAGTGCGTTTGACCTTCTCTTTCGGAGGTGGGCAGTTGGTTGATGACATGTCCCCGCGGAGGGGAGCACGCGGGGAACGTGTGAAGAACAAGTTTTCCTGTCCGACAAGGGAGCAGGTTCTGCCCACGGAGGGAGCAGGTTCTTCCTACAGAGGGAGGTTCTGCCCGACGGGGGCAGTGTCTGGTCGACGGGGAGTCTTGGGTTCGATACAGATGAGGAAGGTTCTGTCCGTGCAGGGACATTACCTGCCCGCCAGGGACTCTGTGCTCGACGGCTGTGGCACAAGCTGGATTGGGCTTGGTAGAATATTATTGGGTTGGGCCTGTCCAGTCAAGTCGGGGCGCAGGTGTCGCTACTGCGAAAATCGGCGCCGGCTTGACAGGAGAGTCGCCACCGTGCGTTATTTATCCCTCAGAGCGGGAAAGGAAACGCTCGAAGTAAACCTCGCAAAGACGGGAAAAAGGTATGGTCATCGCAACCAAAACCTGGATTCGGGAGTCGGTTACGCAAGGGGAAGGTATTAGCACCCCTCACGTCCATCGTACTCGATGGGATCCACGCTTGGTGTTTATAGGTAAAAGGGTGTGTTATCTATCTACTCTAATGGCTGGTCTGAAAAGAAAATAAAAGGACAGGACTCGACAGAACATACGGTGTTCTGGGCCTACGTATTCCCTCGTGCAATGGGAAAGTCAGAGTCAACGTAGTTCGACTGCCTACGTCTAAACGGGGGAAAAGTTGCTCGCCAGGACATCGCGTCCTGTGCCTACGTACTTTCATCTGGAATGAAAGATCAGAGCAAACGTAGTTCGGCTAACTACGGGTAAACAGGGGCTCTCACACAGCAGTGAGAAGACAAACTGGTCTTAAGGCTCGGGAACCTACAACTACGATCTGGTCTCAAATGCACTCGGGCAAGAGAAAGGGGTAACAATTAGTCGTTAGCGGGAAAGTCTCGATCGCACAGCCGCGAGAGAACAAAAGTTAGTCGTTAGTGTGCTCGCTAGGATATCGCATCCTATGCCTACATATCTTCGTCTGGAACGAAGAATCAGAGCAGCTGTAGTTCAGCTAACTACGGGTCAAGCTACTCAAAAGCTCCTACAGAAAGGAAAGGGAAACCCTAGAACTATAGCTGAGAAAACAGGGGAATCTACCTACTGCTATCGCACCTGGTTGACCATCCTAATGTCTATCATAACGACTCCGCAGCGGAGAAGTCAGAGCTCCTAAGGGATCATGGCAACAGGATTAAACCACAGACAAGAAACTGCAAAGGAAAAGAATACTGAAAATATGCATGAATGCAACAACTAGACAAACAAGGCACAGAGGCCGCAAACCACAAAGGCAAGGGAGCTCAGCTCTACCAAATACCAACAAGCAAAGCCACGCAATAACAAACAAGCAGAAGGAGGACCACCTCAACTTCTCATGCACACAAAGTCTACTTCTAAGATGCACTTAACTCAGAACTATCTAGATGAACACCTAAGTCTAATGCAACATAACATCACGCAAGTCAAACAACACAAAGAGACTAACCCTGAGCAGGGCCTCTAACAAACAAGCTCCTAATCTATCTCTAAACAGAACTCTATACACCCTAAGCAGGGATCTAAGCAAAAACTAATCAAAACCCTAAGCAGGAGGAATCAATCCCAGTCTCCCAGCTTCAGAATAAGCCTACCAGAGAAAAGGGAGCTAAGCAGACTAGCTCATGGTATCTTCCTCAGGAAAGTACCAGGAGGTTACTACTCAGGAGTCATATCCTATGCGGCTCGACAACTGTGATCAGTTTACATTCCTCCTCAGGAGAAATTAAACTCACATGAAGGCTCCGGCATCACGGGATACTTGAGAAACCTATACGCACTAGGGGAACTAAGTGAGCAGACTCATAGGACCTTCCTCAGGAAAGTACTAGGAGGCTGACACTTAGGAATCGTATCCTACGTGGCTCAACAACTGTGATCAGTTTACATTCCTCCTCAGGAGGAATTAAACTCACAAGTTGGCTCCAACATCACTGGATACTTACGAAATCCTAGATAAACTAATGGAACTAAGTGAATAGACCCATAGGACCTTCCTCAGGAAAGTACTAGGAGACTTCCACTTAGGAATCGTATCCCATGTGGCTCAATCAACATGTGATCAGTTTATATTCCTCCTCAGGAGAAATTAAACTCACAAGTCGGCTCCGACATCATTGGATACTTACGAAAGAGGTGAGAAGAAAGAATGAAAGTCATTCATAGTGCCTTCCTCAGGAAAGTACCATAAACTTCCTTCAAACTTCAGGATCTCGAACCTCACAAACAGACAACAAGCTCCTAGACTAAGCCCCAATCTACTGCATCCTTGCAAGCTCCAGCAGGACCTCCATCAGCTCCCACCTTGAGAAGAACCCACAGGCCAACAAACCACAGGAGACTATCTCTGAAGTTCAACCACAGTTGAACTTCAAAGTCAGAAGTCACCAAGACTTCTCCTATATTCAGGCTCAGACAAATACTATCAGAACACCCTACAAAAATCTATCAAAAATCTAATGGGAGACCTACGTGGCTCTAGGATAACATACTGAAAATCAGAATAAAATTCCATACCAGATGAAAGAACTAAAATCAGCAACACAGACATATCCACAAACCAATTTATTCAACATCAATAACAATGGAAAAATGCAATTAAAATGAAAATGCATGATTAAGCTAATGTTTTTGCACCATAAAATTCTACACTGAATTATGAGTCTACAGAAAAAGAACGGAATTATTTGACTAAATCTACCATTTTTTATGAATTTTCTAATGATATGCATGCATTAAAAATATTAAAAACATCAATTAAATGGAAAATATGCACAAAAATAACAAACAAAAAAAAAATAAAATGACTTTTTTATTTTTATTTAATTTTCTTAACATTTTTTTATGAAATGGTAGAACAAAGAAGAATTAAAAAACACATTTATTTACATTTATTTATGAATTATTTACAATGCAAGGAAAACAAAAGAAATTGAAAGAAAATTAAATTGGAATAAAACTGGGGAGGTTCAGACAGCAGGTTACTCTAGGTTATTTCTACATTGGGCCCATGCTGGGGGTGCCAAAAGCCATAGGGCGCAGGGCCCAAGTTTAATATCCAAAAAAACAAAAACAAAAAAAAACTGAATCTAAGCGCAGGGGGGGTGTTGCATCAGCAAACTCCTAGTTATTATCTACTATGGGCTTAAAACAAGGGGTGCTGAAAGTAAATTGGGCCTAAGCCCAACTCAGTCATTCAGACTCACACAGGGAGGGGTGATAACGAGCAATTGGGGGTGTGCGTTCAGAAACACGCTTGGGCCTAAGCCCAGTCCAAACAAACCCTAATCCAATTACAGTTAGACAAAACCAATCCTCCTCCCAAAACACTCTGGTACTGTTCACTCTCTAACCCTAAGCCGCTTCTGCTCGTCTTCCTCCTCTCCCTCATTCTCTGCAACCTATCTGATCTCAATCAACTCAAACAAACCCTAAACGAACAAATCCTCACCCAAACACCTCCATCCCTCACACGAAACATGGCCTAACTTCACAAGTATTGTCAAATGGAAGCTCTTAAACTAAAAGTCCTCAAGATCTTAAGCCTACAAACTCTAA